TAAAATCCATATCCATAGAAAACTGCTTGCTTAACAGAATACATTTATAGATATTTTGTAGAGTAACTAAATGGTAACAGTGAAATAGAGATTTTTTGTGTACATTGTTTTCCTTCTAAATAATTCTACATGTAGTTCACACAATAAATCATCTTATCCTTACCCAATAAATCATCTTATCCTTACCTAATAAATCATCTTATCCTTACCCAATAAATCATCTTATCCTTACCCAATAAATCATCTTATCCTTACCCAATAAATCATCTTATCCTTACCCAATAAATCATCTTATCCTTACCCAATAAATCATCTTATCCTTACCCAATAAATCATCTTATCCTTACCCAATAAATCATCTTATCCTTACCCAATAAATCATCTTATCCTTACCCAATAAATCATCTTATCCTTACACAATAAATCATCTTATCCTTACCCAATAAATCATCTTATCCTTACCCAATAAATCATCTTATCCTTACCCAATAAATCATCTTATCCTTACCCAATAAATCATCTTATCCTCACACAATAAATCATCTTATCCTCACACAATAAATCATCTTATCCTCACACAATAAATCATCTTATCCTTACCCAATAAATCATCTTATCCTTACCCAATAAATCATCTTATCCTTACCCAATAAATCATCTTATCCTCACACAATAAATCATCTTATCCTCACACAATAAATCATCTTATCCTCACACAATAAATCATCTTATCCTCACACAATAAATCATCTTATCCTTACCCAATAAATCATCTTATCCTTACCCAATAAATCATCTTATCCTCACACAATAAATCATCTTATCCTCACACAATAAATCATCTTATCCTCACACAATAAATCATCTTATCCTCACACAATAAATCATCTTATCCTCACACAATAAATCATCTTATCCTCACACAATAAATCATCTTATCCTTACCCAAAAAAATCATCTTATCCTAACACAAAAAATCATCTTATCCTTACACAATAAATCATCTTATCCTTACACAATAAATCATCTTATCCTTACCCAATAAATCATCTTATCCTTACCCAATAAATCATCTTATCCTTACCCAATAAATCATCTTATCCTTACCCAATAAATCATCTTATCCTTACCCAATAAATCATCTTATCCTTACCCAATAAATCATCTTATCCTTACCCAATAAATCATCTTATCCTTACCCATCATCTTATACCCAATAAATCATCTTATCCTTACCCAATAAATCATCTTATCCTCACACAATAAATCATCTTATCCTTACCCAATAAATCATCTTATCCTTACCCAATAAATCATCTTATCCTTACCCAATAAATCATCTTATCCTCACACAATAAATCATCTTATCCTTACCCAATAAATCATCTTATCCTTACCCAATAAATCATCTTATCCTTACCCAATAAATCATCTTATCCTTACCCAATAAATCATCATCTTACCCAATAAATCATCTTATCCTTACCCAATAAATCATCTTATCCTTACCCAATAAATCATCTTATCCTTACCCAATAAATCATCTTATCCTTACCCAATAAATCATCTTATCCTTACCCAATAAATCATCTTATCCTCACACAATAAATCATCTTATCCTTACCCAATAAATCATCTTATCCTCACACAATAAATCATCTTATCCTTACCCAATAAATCATCTTATCCTTACCCAATAAATCATCTTATCCTTACCCAATAAATCATCTTATCCTTACCCAATAAATCATCTTATCCTTACCCAATAAATCATCTTATCCTTACCCAATAAATCATCTTATCCTAACCCAATAAATCATCTTATCCTAACCCAATAAATCATCTTATCCTTACCCAATAAATCATCTTATCCTTACCCAATAAATCATCTTATCCTTACCCAATAAATCATCTTATCCTTACCCAATAAATCATCTTATCCTTACCCAATAAATCATCTTATCCTCACACAATAAATCATCTTATCCTCACACAATAAATCATCTTATCCTTACCCAATAAATCATCTTATCCTCACACAATAAATCATCTTATCCTTACCCAATAAATCATCTTATCCTTACCCAATAAATCATCTTATCCTCACACAATAAATCATCTTATCCTTACTACACAATAAATCTTATCCTTATCCTTACACACAATAAATCATCTTATCCTTACACAATAAATCATCTTATCCTTACCCAATAAATCATCTTATCCTTACCCAATAAATCATCTTATCCTTACCCAATAAATCATCTTATCCTTACACAATAAAATCTTATCCTTACCCAATAAATCATCTTATCCTTACCAATAAATCATCTTATCCTTACCCAATAAATCATCTTATCCTTACCCAATAAATCATCTTATCCTTACCCAATAAATCATCTTATCCTTACCCAATAAATCATCTTATCCTTACCCAATAAATCATCTTATCCTTACCCAATAAATCATCTTATCCTTACCCAATAAATCATCTTATCCTTACCCAATAAATCATCTTATCCTTACCCAATAAATCATCTTATCCTTACCCAATAAATCATCTTATCCTTACCCAAAAAATCATCTTATCCTTACACAATAAATCATCTTATCCTTACCCAATAAATCATCTTATCCTTACCCAATAAATCATCTTATCCTCACACAATAAATCATCTTATCCTTACCCAATAAATCATCTTATCCTTACCCAATAAATCATCTTATCCTTACCCAATAAATCATCTTATCCTAACACAATAAATCATCTTATCCTAACACAATAAATCATCTTATCCTCACACAATAAATCATCTTATCCTCACACAATAAATCATCTTATCCTTACCCAATAAATCATCTTATCCTTACCCAATAAATCATCTTATCCTTACCCAATAAATCATCTTATCCTTACCCAATAAATCATCTTATCCTCACCTTATCCTCACACAATAAATCATCTTATCCTCACACAATAAATCATCTTATCCTTACCCAATAAATCATCTTATCCTTACCCAATAAATCATCTTATCCTTACCCAATAAATCATCTTATCCTTACCCAATAAATCATCTTATCCTAACACAATAAATCATCTTATCCTTACCCAATAAATCATCTTATCCTTACCCAATAAATCATCTTATCCTTACCCAATAAATCATCTTATCCTTACCCAATAAATCATCTTATCCTTACCACAATAAATCATCTTATCCTCAATAAATCATCTTACTTACAATAAATCATCTTATCCTTACCCAATAAATCATCTTATCCTTACCCAATAAATCATCTTATCCTTACCCAATAAATCTCACACAATAAATCATCTTATCCTTACCCAATAAATCATCTTATCCTTACACAATAAATCATCTTATCCTCACACAATAAATCCTTATCCTTACCCAATAAATCATCTTATCCTTACCCAATAAATCATCTTATCCTTACCAATAAATCATCTTATCCTTACCCAATAAATCATCCTTACCACAATAAATCATCTTATTATCCTTACCCAATAAATCATCATCTTATCCTTACCCAATAAATCATCTTATCCTTACCCAATAAATCATCTTATCCTTACCCAATAAATCATCTTATCCTCACACAATAAATCATCTTATCCTTACCCAATAAATCATCTTATCCTTACCCAATAAATCATCTTATCCTCACACAATAAATCATCTTATCCTTACCCAATAAATCATCTTATCCTTACCCAATAAATCATCTTATCCTTACCCAATAAATCATCTTATCCTCACACAATAAATCATCTTATCCTTACCTAATAAATCATCTTATCCTCACCCAATAAATCATCTTATCCTTACCCAATAAATCATCTTATCCTCACACAATAAATCATCTTATCCTTACCCAATAAATCATCTTATCCTTACCCAATAAATCATCTTATCCTTACACAATAAATCATCTTATCCTTACCCAATAAATCATCTTATCCTTACCCAATAAATCATCTTATCCTTACAATAAATCAATCCTTACCCAATAAATCATCTTATCCTTACACAATAAATCATCTTATCCTTACCAATAAATCATCTACCCAATATCCTTACCCAATAAATCATCTTGTCCTTATCATCTTATCCTTACCCAATAAATCATCTTATCCTTACACAATAAATCAATAAACACAATACCCAATAAATCATCTTATCCTTACACACAATAAATCATCTTATCCTTACCCAATAAATCATCTTATCCTTACCCAATAAATCATCTTATCCTTACACAATAAATCATCTTATCCTTACACAATATATCATCTTATCCTCACCCAATAAATCATCTTATCCTTACCCAATAAATCATCTTATCCTTACCCAATAAATCATCTTATCCTTACCCAATAAATCATCTTATCCTTACCCAATAAATCATCTTATCCTTACACAATAAATCATCTTATCCTCACACAATAAATCATCTTATCCTTACCCAATAAATCATCTTATCCTTACCCAATAAATCATCTTATCCTTACCCAATAAATCATCTTATCCTTACACACAATAAATCATCTTATCCTTCACCCAATAAATCATCTTATCCAATTACCAATAAATCATCTTATACCCAATAAATCATCTTATCCTTACCCAATAAATCATCTTATCCTTACCCAATAAATCATCTTATCCTTACCCAATAAATCATCTTATCCTTACCCAATAAATCATCTTATCCTAACACAATAAATCATCTTATCCTCACACAATAAATCATCTTATCCTTACCCAATAAATCATCTTATCCTTACCCAATAAATCATCTTATCCTTACCCAATAAATCATCTTATCCTTACCCAATAAATCATCTTATCCTTACCCAATAAATCATCTTATCCTTACCCAATAAATCAGGCTAAACATGTAGAATTAGGATTAAAATCTTGATTATGTTGTATCATCAGAAAATGTTTTAAGACAAGCGTTTTGCTTTGCAGATCTATTGGACAAAGATGTGAAGTCTATGCTTGATGCCCTGTGGCTGATTATCCTGAACTTTTGTATCCATCCAATAGGTAAGTTAGTGGCATGTATTATCTTGCCTGCAAATATGGGCCTTTGATACAACCTCATATGGTGCTAAGAGTTGTGTATTTTTTTCCCATACCTAGGATGGTTAGTGTTTCTCTTTGAAATCACAGATAAACAAAGGGTTGGTCTGGTTGTGTCTTTGGGCAGGACATTTAATCCTGATTGCATGCGGTGGACCTCCAGCATGGTGTTCAGTGAGATAGCTTCCAGCTATGACAAAGAGAACTGAAAAAGATATTCTGAATATTGATCAGGATATTATTTGTGTTTAATTGGGGTATTGCTTTTTTCACAGTGGACTATAACACAGATACATGAAGCTTGCCTCTGATTTTGGACTTTGATAAAGTCAACTTTGATTGAAATTGAATTATAGAAATCTGATAAAGTTAATCATGAAGTAAATGGGTCATAAATAAAGCTTTGAGATGATATAGATTAAGGAATAGTAATAAAGCTTTATCTTGAAGTATTGAATAGAAATCAAACTGATGCATGAAAATATATATGGAATATACTTGGAAGACAAAGCTGAAATCTAGTCTGACATGCAGATCATATTATATATATCATCAGGTAAAACACTCAACAATCTTACACACTACAGTACACAACACTTTGTAATAGCTTAGATTTATTCAGCATTATACAGGTACAATACTTGAAAGGCAGTTTTGAACTGTTATGAGTAAACAGCTGATACAGTCAAATACTATGTTTCATACACGTCATACACAGTAAATTCAAAGTAAACATAGTCATAACTTTATTCCACTTTTTTCTCTGTAGTTTGTAAGCCTTTACACATATTAAACATATACATGTAGTCGCTAGGAACCTGTCTATGTGTACTCAAGGCACTATTTTGTTTTCTACCATGATAAACCCTTCAAACTCAAAAAGCCCTAAATATTTGGTTATCAATTCTCGTGCGTGATGTCACCTTTTCAGATATTGACTGTATTGGTGTTTGTGTCGACAGCTGGATCAGGCTTTGGGCCTGACTATCATAATATTGTTCCAGCATTTACGATCAAATCGTAATCACACAATTCCTGTGAACTCTTCAGATTTTAATGGAAAGGTGTCTTGTGGGTACAAGTCTCGTTTATATAATCCTGCTGGGCTCAGTAGGTGGAGGTTTTCACATATCTGATAGTGATCCATACAATCCATGCAAGAAATCCAGCTTCAGTCATCAAGTTCATTGAGTGATGAATGTAGATGACGTGAAGTTAGAAAAAAAAAAAGTAAAATTTAGGAAGTATTAAAACAAGTTCTATTGCATTGTAATAATGTTGAGGGACTGGTCTTTTAGACAAGGACATTGTAAGTGATGGTTAATGAAAATTACCTTTGGCTAATCAATTTATTAATCAGTACACAGTAATTAGGGCTTTTCACTAACTTGTGAAAAGACCTATTGTTTTTGTTCTGTTTCTTATTATTCTTATTATTATTATTATTCTTCCAATTTTGTGGGTTCGTAATCTTTTAGATTGTAAAAGCTAGATATACTGTCTATTAAAATATTTGCAGATACGTATATGAACTTGTCGATGCCGATTTTTGAAGTAGGTCAAAAATTTATTATGGCCGCCATGACGTCATAAGTTAAAAACTTAAAAACGAGAATATCTCGAAAATCGTTGACTATACAGAGTTTGTGCAATAATATTATTTGTAGAGAATTTCCTTATCAAAATTTTTGTCATGACATGTTATCAGAGAATATGTCAAATAAAAAAGCTCGCTGTTGGGTAAAGTTTTCAAAATTTAACAAATTTTTTTTTTTTTTTCAATTTTGAACTTTCTTGAAATTTTCTTCTTCAGATCGATGCAGAACATCCTTCCAATGAATTTAATGTTTTGTTTTTCGGTAGATTGTCGCCAAAGAAGTGAAAAGCCCGCAAAATTGTTAGCAACAATTTCTAGTTTATCATACATTCATTTGTTTTTCCCAGTCCTGATGCGCCATATATATTCTACAAAAAAGACACATCTAATAACTGGTATTACGTGTCATCAAAAGTTTGATATTAACAACCAGATCAAACCTGTTTATAAGGATTCCTGTCAATTAATAGACTTACAAATGGGCTGCAATAATTGGAATTACCATATATAGTCTACAAAATAATTTAGAAAGGGCAATCCACATGTAGTCTGACAATTCAAGATATCAACTACCAATACTTCTCAAATTTTCATATATATATTACATTCTTTGGGAGAGTGGGGAGTTGGGAGGGATGTGCAGATTAACAAATAAAAAATGAAAACAATTAAAAGCATTTATCAGACAACTGGTCCATGCCATTTTGAAAAGTCTACTATGACCAGTTTTACTATTCAGAAGCTAGAAATGCTACCAAATGCTACATAACTGCCCTCTAATAAGCCCACCACTTGACATCGAGTAAGTGTTGGCCCCCTGGGCTTATCATGATAAATATGTACAACAGTATTGTAAGCTAACAAGACATTGCTGTGTTTAAGAGTGAATGTAAAACCCATATTTACTTTTCTACTTGATTACAAAGCAGTAACTGGTACAAGTTTCTACAAGTTTAACATATAAACAAAATCTACCTGCATACAACCATCTATCAACAGACAGGTTATTTTACACACAACTTCATTTGTGTTTCTAGGACTTTTATAAGTGTCAATATTTAGTGTATATTTTATTTCAAGATCATCATCAAAACCCTGATTGCTTTGGAGCTGTAGAGTATCATAGAAATTTTAAATGTTTGTAAGACGGTTCTTGGTGCTCAAATATTTCTAGGTTAAAGAGCTAGATATTTAACTATATATCTTACTAACATTGTTATGTAGTCATTAAAGCAAACTTCCACACCATTTCCAAGTTTACACATATTTTTGGTGGAAAAACTAACACGAAAACAATATCTACCAACAGCATAATGGGTGACTTCATTGTATTTCACAACTGCTTAATCATAGGTCGGAGAGCTTTGGCACAGTCAGCTGTCCCAGAATTAATAGTTTGTTGTTATGATAAACAGTCAATATAGCATGCAGTGAAAATTGGCTTGTAAAAGGTTAGATGTGTCAGGATTATATGAATTAAAAGAAGATATTAAAAAATATTGGGAAAAAATGCAGTATTAATTAATATCTGAAAGATGTAAATTTCAATATTAAAGTGAAATTATCACAAACCCAGCCCTATAAGTATTTGTATACAATCAGGAGAATTCACACTTAAATAATTGTTATGAAGTTTCAGGCTTGCTATTATTTATGCAATTATTATTCAATGAAATTTATTTAAGTTCGAAAATATGGGCAACACTCCTGCTTTTTCAATTTACAGACCTGTACATTTTTCATTATTTACCAAGATTTACTTCATAAAGATGGTTTATTTTTATTCAATAGAGTTTTACACACTCATAAAGAAATTTCATTTTCATTTTTGAACATGAAAGAAAATAATACTAAAAGATATGTATGTTTACTCTGACTGAAAATCAAATTTAAAGCAAAAAACAAAAATAATAATGAAACTTGAATGGTGTCCTTGAATTCGAATGTGGCAAGACTGTATTTTTTTTGTTTTGGTCAGTGTAAATAGAGACTTTTGGTCTGTTTTAGATATAGACTCATTGGCATTACTCTACAACCCTAACATGGGCTGTTCATTGTTATCCATGTATCTTGTCACCTTACTGCCCTCCCATAGACATTGTAAATTGAATGCTGTCTCTCCAATTTTCAACCTAAAAATGGTTAATTGTTGATTAAAATAACCTGTTGACTTTACAATTAAAGGAGGGAATAGTTTTAAAGATTATATTTAAATTTGTTATGAATAAAAGAGATAAAAGACACACTTATGTTTGAGGACAATCTACAAAGCAAAGCTAGCTTAGTATAAAAAGCATAATAATAATCGAAATGTAATTTGACTATTTGATATTTTTATTTTGTTTTTCTCAATGGACACCACAGAGACTGTTTTGATGCCTTGAGTAATTTAAGATTTACTCCTGGTTTAGAAAGACTAAATGGTATTGATTTTTTTTTGTTTCTTTTTTTAATTTTCGAATTACTTTTTAAAAACAGGCCCAAGGTTCCTTTGAAGGTGTTAAATATTACAATTTCAAGTATTTAATGCTGTGAATAATTCTAAATATTTTTTTCTTTCCATTGTACATGAAGATAGTGTGAAATTTTAAGATTGTAGAATGAAACTCTGTTACAAATTCTTTTAGATATTTTCAATCTAAAATGATAAAGGACATTTTAAGTGTAGTAATTTCAAACTATTTAACATTGACCCCTTGACCACTCCCTTCTGGTCAAGTGTTAGTAGGATAGCTCTTTTTACAAATTCTTGTAAAATAAATCGTGTTTATAAACGATAACATTCAGATTCCATTTTGAATTAAACACTTTATTTTTGTCCACAGAGCGTGGCATATTCCAAAGAAGTGTTGGTGTTGGCAAAAAGTATGTCCTTGAATGGTGTCAACGTGAGCTAGCAGCTGACTTTGATCCCAAAAATACCCTTGCATACAAGTGAGTATTATGAATTTTTATGAAATTAAACAATTTGCCCCTTGTGTGATATGCATTAGAATATGTTGAAAAAAGAACAATTCTGACTCCAAAACATTTTCTGCTGCACAAGTTTAATTGTAGTCATCACAAAATGTGACAAAAAGAGGCCATTTTTAACACAAACATTCCTAGTTTATAAGTCATCATTGAATAGTGATGAATGAAGGGGCTATTTTGACACCAGAAATATTTTTACAATGGTGACAAATCATTGAAAAGAAACAGGCTTTCCCTTTTAATGCATTGATACATTCTCCTCTTTCAAGTACTGGTAAGTGTCTTGTAAATGGTGAATAATTGTACTTTCGCTTCAATGCTGAAACGATGTTCCTCTGACAAGTGTCATTTTAGTTTTATAAACTAGTCAACTTTGAACGTTAAAGTTGACTTCTGCCTACAAACACTTAAGTGTCTTTGACACAAGTGACACAACATATGTTCACCATTAAGAGTTGTGTTAAGGATAAAGTTTAAAATTAAGCATAAGTAGAAGAATACAGTGGAAAGGGTAACACTTATTTTATCAACAATAGAACAGAGGCCACCTAATATGCACGAAAATTCTATGTAGATCATTGAAAAGTAAAGAGGTAATGAGATTGCCTCTGACATCATTACCATCCGTGTTTAACAGATCTATATCTACCCTCTACCTGATCCTGCATCAGGCAATTTGTATTTCATCTACAAAAGCCATTTTTATCATTTTTATCTGATGATTCACCTCATCAATAAGTCGAAGTTTAACCATTAGTAACAATCCATACAACAGAGTCCAAGTTTTAAATCTGAAAATGAAAATTTGTCAACGCTTGCTGAATAGTCTTTTTTACATTAGGTATAGCATACCAAAGCTGCAGTGTTTACTAATTTTTGACGTCCATGGCGTACATGCAGTATTTTGAAGTACCATCAGATATAAATAGAACAGCCTGTCAATGTTTGCTTTTCCATTTTCTTATAATCAATGAAATGTAGTAAATATGTGGCAATTTTGATGGTGAAAATAAAAGTTAGTTTTTTCTTTAAAGCCCTAATATACGCATTAGTTGGCAAATTCACGAGATTCAGAAATCAAACTTTAGCTGGGTAGTATCTAAAATTTGTGAGGATATCAAAACAAATAAAAATTAATAGACATGAGTCTTGTTTAGAATACAAACTAATGTTAAATGAAATTTAGAAGGCTGTTATGAAAAACGATGTGACCAATCTGCATAGTAAAACATACAGGTGTAAGTAGGTGTGATGTTGCACTTTCTGCATGCTTTTCCACAACATCATATCACAGTTAGAATGCAGATGTATAGTCATTCAAGGGCTCGCTATGTAGTCTGAATATGGTATGTACAGGTGTATATAAATACTGACCTCTCTCAGAAATGTCTAAAGTATTTTCTGACTTTAGTTCAGCAAAGATCATAAATGGAGGCATGTTTATAAAAATGAATATCAACAGTCTTTATTCCAATACCAATGCCTGATATCATGTTTTATCTTGTAACTGGCACTGCCATTGTTGGAATGCACCTGCCACATATATGTTTTAGCTGTGTCCAGCAGTGACGGAAAACAGCTGTATTTTAGCACTTGTGGTAATTAGAAAGAATTACTCTCTAAATTAACTTGAATATTACATTTAGAAATATAAATTGTTGTTAAAATAAGCAATTTTACGTGTTGTAATGAACAAGTTGATTTATGGAAATAAAATCGCTGTTCTCACAGATAAAGTTTGGATATTTCTGCCTTGGAGCAATTCTTCCATCAATCAGTCAAAATGTAGCGCAACGTCAACATCAGGTAAACACAAGATTAAACAACAAAACTGTATTTAAAATGGAAAGTTTTTCAATCAATGTTGCAGGACAGATTACATGATCAGTATCTTAGAATATAAGCTGTATTTTGGCTCAGGACACACTTTTGTCTTTCTTTGCCTTCACCAAAATACAGCCTAAATTTTAAGACACTGACAATGTTTTCTCTATAACTTTAACTATATCAATATAAATATATCATATTTTTTCTTTGCTTTTTTAGTTAAAGTTGTGTATATTGGGGCTGTACTACCATTTACATGGTTATACAAGGTTACAGGATTCAGAAGTTTTGTCAAATAATGCACTTATAGAAGGATTGCAACTTCAGTTTTAGAAATTTGCTGTAGTTTGATGTAAGTTGTAATTTTATAGTAATAATGTTTATACAAAATTATAGAATACTTTCCATATCACACCCATATACACCATTGATTGAAAATTCTGAAGTTTGTATTTTAAACCTAATGGCTTGCCGCAATACTCTTGTACAGGTTCAATCATGCAAAAATTGAATTGATAGTTTTCAACAGTAAACATTGGTATCAGTTAGAACCTTGTCTGCCTTATGTAACATTATTTGTTCTAGAATAAACCCAGGCTTACATATAAACCCTTTCTTGTATCTTGCCCAGGTACATGAAGTTTATTACGCAGATTTTTAAGATATCATGCTACCTTGTTAAAAATAACTAATTTTTAGCTGGCTAACAATTTAAATGAAGTGTGAAGGGAGAGGGGGGAGTTCCTGAGTACATGATACCTGGTCGGAGAACAGGTGTGTCAAACATTTTCATGTTTTCATTTTGATTTTGAGTATCAAACCCCAGTCCTCTGATTGTTTCTTTGCTGTGAGTTAAAGCCACTAAGGTTTTTTTGGAGCATTTTTGTTGACTTTAGATGGTAGCTACCTCACTGAAAAACATAGAGAGGCCCATTGCATGTCCTGTAAAGGACACACTCATTACAGCACAGGGTGGTCGTAAGAGTGGTCTCCTCTCTGAGAAACAAACAGATGCCTTGAGAAGGGATTAAACTACACACCTTACATTCTCACTTCAGGTTGCAAATACCTGAATTCTGTTGACCTCTCCTAATGAAAGGAGAAAACTTTATTCACTGTTTTCTGGCCAACTGATCACTCCATATTGCTTGACTATCTGAGTTAAATGTATTTCTATTTTGAAAGTCATATCTGGTAAAACATTTTCGGCTTTCGAATTCTCAAATCAATTCAACAGAATCAAAATAAAATTGCCTCTGTATGCCAGTATGGAACACCTTTAGATAATTACCGGGGTTTAAATACTTTATATGTATAGATGTCACCAGAGTGATGTTATCATTAGTCCAGTGATTAATGGCAAAATAGTTCAGTGTAAGCATTAGTGAGGAAATGGCAGGTTTGATAAAGAAAAATAATCATTATAGTTGAATTCAATGATTGAGTTGATCAGTATTAGAAGTAGTGTGTATAATAGTCCTGCATTTTTACCGATGATTTGTACTTTTGCAGTGTAATGTAAGTTAACGTACATAGTCCCAATAATGATTGCTATCTCCAAGAAGGAAGAGTTCAGTCTGTCACTTGTTTGACATTTTCGTACCTGGAGTGACTACTGTAACTATTCAGTGACATTTTCGTACCTGGAGTGACTACTGTAACTATTCAGTGACATTTTTGTACCTGGAGTGACTACTGTAACTATTCAGTGACATTCTCGTACCTGGAGTGACTACTGTAACTATTCGGTGACATTCTCGTACCTGGAGTGACTACTGTAACTATTCGGTGACATTCTCGTACCTGGAGTGACTACTGTAACTATTCGGTGACATTCTCGTACCTGGAGTGACTACTGTAACTATTCGGTGACATTCTCGTACCTGGAGTGACTACTGTAACTATTCGGTGACATTCTCGTACCTGGAGTGACTACTGTAACTATTCGGTGACATTCTCGTACCTGGAGTGACTACTGTAACTATTCGGTGACATTCTCGTACCTGGAGTGACTACTGTAACTATTCGGTGACATTCTCGTACCTGGAGTGACTACTGTAACTATTCGGTGACATTCTCGTACCTGGAGTGACTACTGTAACTATTCGGTGACATTCTCGTACCTGGAGTGACTACTGTAACTATTCGGTGACATTCTCGTACCTGGAGTGACTACTGTAACTATTCGGTGACATTCTCGTACCTGGAGTGACTACTGTAACTATTCGGTGACATTCTCGTACCTGGAGTGACTACTGTAACTATTCGGTGACATTCTCGTACCTGGAGTGACTACTGTAACTATTCGGTGACATTCTCGTACCTGGAGTGACTACTGTAACTATTCGGTGACATTCTCGTACCTGGAGTGACTACTGTAACTATTCGGTGACATTCTCGTACCTGGAGTGACTACTGTAACTATTCGGTGACATTCTCGTACCTGGAGTGACTACTGTAACTATTCAGTGTTGTAATGCAGTTAGAATGCAGAAGAAACACATAAGTCACATTATTTTGTCTACAAATTATTAATTCCTCAGGCTTCAGGGTTTCAATTTCTTAACCTCTTGTCAAGAATCACTATGAAGCAGTGAACTCATTTGGTACAACAGGTGAATATTTTTTCACTATCTCTGAGATTCAGAACAGATTCAGAATGTCATTCTCTGATGACCTATAATTGTTTTAGTATGACTGAGCTTAATTAAGCCTCAAAATTTCTGCTACAACATTACAATTTACGGAGTAGAAAAATAGTGTTCAGTTTCCATACCATAAAACAAGTACTCATAGAATATTTACTGCCTCAGCATTTCTCTTTTCTTAATAGTACATATGTATTGACTTTCAAAGGACTAAACTATAAAATAAATAGAAAGGAAAAAATCATAAAGTTTTACAAAGTCAGTCTCAAAAAGTAATGACACATATACTTTCCTGTATTAATAAATCTGAAATTATGAAGTAATAATTTTGAAAAACAATTTTTACTAGTTTTATTTCATCAAAATATTATTATATTTTAAGAACTTTTCTAAAATGTTTATATGGATTGTAATCTACTACAAAAAGGGAGAAAATCAGAGAAATCGTCGAAAGTTAACATAAACTTGAAGTTCATAATATGTTCT